GGAAAATGCTTGAACCTTTATGGTGTTAGTATAATACTATCTTATATTAACCATAAGTAATTTTTTTAATTGGAACGGGCTAAATTTTCATTTAATATCTTTCACCAGGGAAATTAAGGAGCTAATATATATTTAAAAGCAGTTTACTATATTTTCTTTTTAAGTTGATTTGTTTGTGAAGCTGTTGGGTAAATTTTGAGATCATTGCTGTGCGGTTTGCAGTGTGCATTTCTTAATAAGCATGATTTAAGATTAAAGCTTTCTAAAAAGAAAGCATATATTGTTCCTCTACTTTTAAGACTTAGTATTTTACAGATTAACCCTTTTTGAACATTTGTATATTTTTAATACTGACTTTCACTTAAACATTTTCTCTTCTAACATCTTTTACATTTGTGTACTTTAATACCTTAAGCAAAAATAATTTTATAAAATCTCTTTGTAAAGGCTATTCTTAAGTCTTTTGAAAGTATATTTTGGAGAATTTTTAAAATAAACTCATATTAGTGTCAAATCTCTTTTCATGTCTGAATACGTATTTGAGCTCCATGAATCGATACTGTTATTTAGCATGTCTTGATTTAGTAATAAGCAGTATGTTGCAGATTACATTTGACAGAGCAAATGATAAACACTGTACCCTTTCTGTGGAGCTCATCCACAGGCTACAGAGGGCACTGCACTGCTGACCCTAGCAACACCTGTCAGGGTGAATTGGTTAGCTGATTAGGGCCTGAAGTGTAACAGAAAATTCAGATTTATGTATCCTAGAAATGTTCTGGGGTTCCTTCTGTTTAGGAGTCAGATGTCTTCTACTTTGCATTTAAGCTTTATAAATAAATTGACTTTTAAAAAACTTTCCTTGTGGGCTGTGCACATAGCTCAGTGGTACAGTGGTTGCTGTACTTTTAGAAGGCTCTGAGTTCCCTCCCCAGCACTGAATGAATGAATGAATGAATGAATGAATGAATGAATGAATGAAGCAAGCCATGGGGGATGGGGGGCTGAAGAGATGACTCAGCAGTTGAGAGCACTGACTGTTCTTGTCTTGCAGAAGGCCTGGGTTTGGTTCACAGTACCCATATGGCAACTCAGACTCATCATTAAGTCTAGTTCCAGGGGATCTGACACCTTCTGGCCTCCACTGCTACTCCATGTGCACATGATGCACATACATACATGCAAGCAAACACACATAAGATAAAAATAAATTTTTTAAGTTTCCTTTTGTTGCTTCATTATAGCATGTACTATATGTT